TGCCCCGCCTTCCCCTGGCAGTTTCCCACTACTGCCAATCCCTTTCTTGTAGTATTATGATAATTGTTCAGGATCCGCTTATGAGTAAGAACATGTGGTACCCAGTTCTTTGTTTCTGTGATGGATTACTCAGTGTTATAGACTCTAAATCTATCCAAGTTGCTGCAAAATGTGTAATTGTGTCCTTCTTTATGCATAATATTGCATCGTGTATGTGCACCCCATTTTTTTTATCCAGTCCATTTTCAATAGGCAGCATGGTTGGTTCCAGGTTTTTGCTATTGTGAATGATGCTGCGATAAACATGCATGAGCAGGTATCTTTTTCATAGAGTGATTCGAGTTCCTTTGGATATATTCTCAGAAGGAGGATTGCTGGGTGGTATGGAAGGTCGATTTTTAGATCTTTTAGGAATCATCGCACAGTTCTCCACAGAGGTTGTACTAGTTTACACTTCCAACAACAGTGTAGAAGTGTCCCCTTTTCCCCCACATCCTCTCCAGCATCTGTTGTCTTTTGAGTTGTTGATGATGGCCATCCTGATTGGAGTTAGGTGGTATCTCAGTGTGCTTTTGATTTGCCTTTCTTTGATGGTTGGTGAGACTGAGCATTTTTCATGTATCTGTTGGCTGCTCATATGTCTTCTTTTGAAGTGTCTATTCATATCTTTTGCCCACTTTTTAATAGGGCCGTTTGTTTTTTGTCTTTTCAGCAAATTTGAATTCCTTACAGATCCTAGATATTAGACCTTTTTCAGATATACAGTAAGACTGACTCTTAAAAGAAAAATTATCCTCATCCCTTCAATTAATGAATGGCAGTTGCTGTAAAGAAAAATTCAGTTCCCTTGAAGGAACTCTGTAATCACCTGAAATGCTTGACAAGAAAACAGATTATCCTGGAAAATAATCCCCTGACATCAGAGACATTTAAACATAAACTGGAGAGCCATTGGCTTTGGGAGGGTAATTGAATGAGATGACTTTGAGGATCCTCTGTGCTCTGCAAATCCCTAACTGTGTTTTATTTTAGTTTCTAGATGTCGTGCGGCTGGTGCATCGGAAGTCCTGGAAAGTGGGGGATATCTTTCATGCAGTTGTCCAGTACTGCAAGATGCATGAGGAGCAGAAGGATGGGAGCCTGAGTCTCTTTGACTGGCTTTTGGAACTGGGATAGAGCAGCCAGTCCTTAGAGACCATTCCTTCCCTTTATTCCAATTTAGATTACAGTGGTTTGTTCTAAATGCTCTACACTCTTCCAAATCATTGAATCACATTAGCAGAGCTATTAAAAATCTGCTATTCAAGTCCACTGCACACAGAATACATCTGAGGAAAAGCAAAATATAGGTTTGTCCAAATCTATACAGCCTCTGGGTGAGTTCCAAAGAGCTTGGATTAGGATTAGAAGGGCTGGAAAAAGAGAAGCTTTGATGGGGTCCAAGTTAAACAGCTTATCATGAGGTCCAAACTCCAGGAAAGCTACATTCACATATGTTTAATCATATAAAATAATCTGTAGTATCTCCAATTAGGTGAATCAACTGGAAGCAAACTCATTGGTCAAAATAATGTCATAAACTATGCCTCAACCTATATTTTGCTTTTCTGAGCATATTAAGGAGCTGCCAGGCCAGGGAAATATCTAAGATATAGGTGAGAAATTACCAGTCCTTTATATAAAAGTTTTCCACTTTCAGACCAATATCAGTGGATATTGATAAATGTATATCTCCCAACAATATCTGGGCTCCCAGACAACTAGCAAATTATAGGCATTCAACTGTGGGAGAGGAAGATTCAAGATTGTCTTATTTCCATTACTATATTACTTGAGTAAAATGATTACAAAATTCTTATCCTAAGAGATAGCTTTCTTACTTTAAAAAAAGTCTTTTCAGATAAAAATCTGCTTGTGTACTGAATTATACGAAATATAAACTTTCATTTTATTTATTTTAAATTATGAAGAGATTATTATCATAAATAATATATTGAGTTAGCTTAGAGTTTCATAAAATATGAAGAGATTGTCGTCTAAACTCATATACTAACATTATGCTCAGTGATTCATTTCATCATGAATTTGCTGGTACCCACATGGTAGACATGTTATTCCAATGGCATTTATAATGACAGAAGCAGGGTAATAGCCTTGTGTTTGACATGACCAATTAGGATTACGGACTTTCCCTGACTCAAAGATATGAACAATGAATTTGGGGAAAAGACGACTTTATCACATTTTAAGTATTTTAATAACAGAGATTTACTCTTTTGAAAAATAAAAATACCTAATGTCTCCCATATGTCTTCTTTCCTTGCAAATAAATGAGCTACACTAACTTATTTTCTTGATCAAAAGGGTGTTTATTAAGGATTTCTGTAAAAAGGTATACTTTTACTCTATTTTTAAAGATTGTGAAATAACTTTAAATGTGATCAAGTCCCCATATCATGAATGCTGGCTCATCTGATCTATCTTCCACATTTTGGAATGCAAAGAAAGCTTCCTTGTAAGCCATACTTCCTTCCCCATTCCCACCTTAGAATTCTTTCCCAGTGCTCATTAGGCATTTATTATACAAATAGTCCAAATTTAGGTTAAATATTTAATTTGACACATTAGTCAAATGTCAAATTTTAAAATATATCTCATCCACTCACACTGAAATGTGTTTCATTGTGCTACTAAGTGGAAAAGGTTATACTTATTTTTTAAGCAATCCCAGAATATTGTGTGTAAAATTTTGTTGTGCTTGAATAAATGTTAACTTATCTTACAAAGCACAAGTACTGAATTGTAACCATGTGATGAAGTTATCTATGTTGTACCTAACATTGCAAACTAATCAATAAATCTCTGTTGCTAAATTGTTGATTTTTTTTCCCTCCGAGAGAGCTTTAAGCATCTCATAGAAAAAAAGCAATCATGATATAACTGGATAAAAGTCAATATATCCCTTAGAAAAAATTAGCTGTCCTGTTTTCAATTCTTTAAAAAAAATGTACTTTGACTAAATTTATTAAAATCAGTAATATTTATGGAAATCATTGTTTCTCAATCTTGGCCTCCAGGACTAGATTATTTTTTGTTGCAAGGAGCTGTCCTGTGTATTGTCGAATATTTAGCAGCATCTCTAGTCTGTACTCACTGATACCAGTAACTGACTCCTTCCAGTTGGGTCACCCAAAAATATTTCCTGACATTGCCAGTGGCCCCCTAGGGTACAAAATCATCACTGGATGAGGAGCATGGGTACAAATAATGCATTGAAGAAGCAGAACCCAAAATACTATGAAGTGTAATAAAAAAGTAGGACCCTATAGCCTCTATTCTAGGGAATCCCAGTAAGGGCCACAAAGCCAGGCATCCCCTATCCAAGGCCCATGGATGTGGTCTTACGTCAAGTCTGAGGGGTAGGAGAAAGAGGCACAAGACAAACAAGGAGTCTACAAACCTGGGATAAATCAGCCTGACTCAAATAAACTCATCAGGGCTAAAGGCAAATGGATGAATACTCTTTGATTCAGAAAATCATTATTAAAATGAACCCTTTTAATCAAAGGAGATGCAAAATCAGATGTGCATGTAAGAGAAATAACATGGCCAGGCTCGGTGGCTCAGCCTGTAATCCCGTGCTTTGGGAGGCTGAGGTGAGTGGATTGCCTGAGCCCGTGGGTTCGAGATCTGCCTGGGCAACTTGGCGAGACCTCATCTCTACAATAAATCAAAAAATTAGCCAGGCGTGGTAGGGCACGCCTGTAGTTCCAGCTACTTGGAAGGCTGAGGAGGAAGGATCGCCAGAGCCCAGCAGGTCGAGGCTGCAGTGGCCGGGAGCAGCCACTGCACTCCAATCTAGGCAACAGAGTGAGACTCCAACTCAAAAAAAAAAGAGAGAAATAACATGAATACATGTTCACTGAATTATATCTTACACTTGGGATAAAGCCATGACAAACTACTTTGTTCATGGTAAAGGTTTATGATTTTTCTCATGTAGCACTGTCTCCTCAGGTTCAGTGACACATTGGAAGGACTCAGAAGCCATGTATCTGTGCTTATGACTTATTGCAACACACAGAAAATGAATTAAGTCAAAAAGGGAAGGTCACATAGGGCAAGTTCAGGAGAAATAAATGCAAGTTTCCAGGTGTCCTTTCCCAGCAGAGTTGCATAAAATGTACTTGATTCTCCAGCAATGACACATGAAAGCACTTATCACCATCTGCCTTCGAACATGCTAAAGTTGAATACACGTCTCCTTTGCCAATTTTAAGTTCCTGGAGAATGAAACCACATTTTACTCTCTGTGAATTCTGCCATTGTCCCTCGTACAATGTGTTCTCCAAAACAGATGTCATGGAGAACTGAAAAAGCTACTAGGCCTTGGGGAACTAAGTGCTTAGTTGACATCTGATAATGTTTAATCATTAATTCTTAAAATACAATTTTATTTTGATGTTCTCCTAAGCTTACCAGAACTGCTTCCTGGTATATAAAGCTGCTCAGTATTTCTTATGAAATTACTTTTGAATGCAGGCAAATGAAACTTTCTATGAACATTTTCCTTTTATTTTAATTGCATAAGAAAATTCAGCTTAAAATATTTTAGATAATATATAACAGAGAATACTTCAGTGGTTTGGGGATAAATTTAAGTGATATTCAGGGCATTATCAGCAGGGCTTGGAAGCCAGTTGAGAACAGACAGGTTTGAATGAAGCAAGCAAAGGAAAAAAAATCCTCTGAGCCTCTCTCCCACCAGCAAAATTGTTTATGCATTAAAAACCAAAGTGTTAATCCACTTTTATTGTTTCAAAGACCTTTTGAGCATTTAAATTTTTCCTGAATAGTCCCTTCAAAAATGGCCTTCTTAAAGTCCTTTATCAATCTCACATTCTTCTTTTCAGTTTTCACAGCTCTTCCTATAAAAGGAGAAAGGAAGTCCTTCAGTTCTTTGGAGATGGACTTTCATTAGATACTTATCATCATTGTTATCTGGGGAATAGGCCACCTGAGACCCAATCCCCACCATTACACAATATGTCCATGTAACGAATATGTACGGTTACCCCTGAATATAAAATTATTTATATGTATGTATACATAAATATATAATAAATAAAGCTTGAAGAAAATATTTATCATCACTGTTTTATTTGCCTGTGGAAGATTTCTCCTGCTTTGTTGAACTCTATCCTATTTAATAAATACTCTTCACTCTGACTATTTCTGCCCCAGAATGCAGCAGGGACTCTAGATTCTACTACGATGCTCTGAGCACTCAAAACCCAGGTGCAACAATTGTTTTATGGCAAATTGTGTTGTCCTTGGGCTGAACACCTGGCCCAACTCTTTACACACACACATCTCTCTGTCACATCACAAACAACAGCATACAGCACAGATAAAACAAAAACAAGAGTTTCTGTTCTTACAGACAAAAGCAGAATGAATCGTCATTTGTTGAGACAGAATGAAGGCGAATGAACCCAAGAGAGCCTCTAGCATTATGTACCCTGGATTCTTCTCCGTGCCCATGTATGACATCTATACAAGGTACTCTTACTGTTTCAAGTAGCAGGATAATTGTTTTAAATCTAGCAAGATTTTTTGGTAACAAAGGCAGTAGACCACATGTTGACCTCTTGTGAAACTCAGAGAAATGTCACCAAAAAACAAAAAAACAACAAAAAAAGCTCACTAAAGTAGATCAGTTATTTCCTTCATTTTTTATTTTTGACAGCAGGATCTTATTTTAAACTTTCAGTGCAAGAATATCATATTAAAAAGCTGTAACTTACAATCCCAGCTGTGTGGACTCTCAAGCATATTTACCAAATGTTCCTAAAATTTAGGGTTATTTAAGCATATTAAATATATAACAGAATGCATGATTAACATGATATATGTGACCACTTCCAACTGAACATTTTACAAATTGCTGTTGGGCAGAGAGAAGGGCAAAGGTGATAAGTCAAGAGTAAAGCAATTGTAATGGGGTGTGCTATCGCAGAAAAGTAAAGATTAGAAGAAACTTTCTATTAAACACCCAGCAGCTGTTTGTTTCTTTGTTTTCCAAATGCCTGGGGTAAGATGCAGAGAAATCAAGGTTTGAACAATTCCAGCTACAGAGGTGAGGAAAAGTTTGAGTGTTCAGTGAGACAAAGAAAATAATATAGTTATAATTCCTAACATTTTCATAGCATAAGTTTTTTTGAAAACCTGAGGAAAGCTGTACACACACACAATCTAGGGGTTATCTATAGTTTCAGGGGGCTGTACATTTCTTTATCATAACTCAGCTCTGGCTTCTGGAGAGTACAGCCCATGTCTTCTTTTATTTGTTCTCACCTTCTAGTCCCTATTTCTGTTATCTATTTTATCTTGGCATCTAGTGGATCCTCCATACATGTCTGTTTAAGAAACCCCTGCCTTTCAGAACTCATATTTATGAGAAAAGCATATAAAAAGGGTCAGATTCTGACCAAAAGGAATGTTATTTTAAAGGGTTTTTTTATGGGGGGAGAGAGTATAGGTCATATCCTCATAAAGAACAAAGAAGAAAAGGCAAATGTAACCCTTTAAGAAATATGCTACTTTTAAAGTAAGAAAAATCTAAATCCAACAGAAGTACAGAATTTAGCTTAAAACATGCCATGTCTAATAAATGACAAGATAAAATGTCTACATTGGCTACTTCATGCTTCAATCAAAGCACTGGGCCCTGTTCATGGCTCCTAAAGAGGTTTTCATTCAGCATCAAAAATCTCTAGTTTTCCTCAACTGCTGGGGGTTGAGGTCCTGATGTTAATCCCCAGTCAAACCATGTAAATTTGTTCTTCCCTCGTTCTGGTTTGCTGAAAGCAGAGGTAACATTTCTAACTACCCACTATTCAAAGACTGTATGAAATGTACTACTTTCCATTAAAAATGTACCCGTTATAATAGAACTCCCATATCTATAGAGAGATACAGATATGGATTAGATATAGAGATAGAGATGGAGATCATAGAGATAGAGATAGAGACCTCTGAAAAAATAAGAAGCTGTAACTTATGCTCTTAACAGTCTGTCAACATCTGGCTAAGCATTTTTTGAAATTACAGCACAGGCTTTGGTGAGCTCAGTATCCAACTTGCAGAAAGCCAAGAAAGGGAACTCAACCGATACCCTGACTTTCTTATAGACATCCATATTTAGCCACTCAATACACAAATATTTATTCAACACCAAGCATGCCAAGACTTGTTCTAAATCACACACACACACGCACGCACACACACACACACAGATGATGATGAATCATAACAATAATACCTTATATAAAACTCAGTTGAGCATACAGCAACTGTGGAAGGTGATGGGAAAACATAATTTAAAACAGGCTGTTAAACCTCCATTCAGGGGTTCAGAGTGTGTTTTTCGTAAATTTGCAAGTTTTTGAAGTCAAAAGTATCACTTGAAATGGCCCCTGACCAATTATTTGTTAGTCAATCTAAACATTCAATTTGGGGCATCAAGTAAGGAGACAATGATAAAGTCAGCTATTGTCTGAACTTCAGCAACTGAGAGAGCCTGAGCTTGCTACTTACGATTGCAACATTAACAAGTGTTTCAACACACAATGGTGAGAACCAGAATGAAAGAGTAAACTCTGTCAAAGAGCTAAGTGTGCAGGGAGTCAACACATCCCTATTCTTTAGACACTTTTTCCTCTCAACTTCATGTCTTTTGGGCTATATATTTTTCCCACCCTCTGCAAAGATCCCAACATGTTCCTTCATAATGTTTGCCGCACTGTCTCCAGCTCTTGATGTTCCTGCATGCTGCACTTACTTGCCCTGTGTGACCACACGAATGGGTAAT